ATCCAATGGACACCCGCTCGGCAGTCACTCGACCTGCTCCCCGATCAAATCGAAGCCGACGAGCAAAAACGAGACCCCTTGAAAAAGCAAGAAGTAGAAATGTATTCCCTGAGCTGATAACAAACTCCTAGCTGCAGCTGTTAGCAAAAGAAAAGCCAAAGCTAGTTCCTTTGTGTAAATCCTATTATGCTTCTTCTTCTTCTTCATCTTCATATCCTTCATATCTGTCTTCTTCATGATCTGATCAAGATTGCCTGGGTCAGAGCTCGCCCTCTGGCTTTTCTGCTGAGGGCCCACCAAAGATGCAATGTCTCCTTCAGACGAGCGGCCAGACTTTTTAGTGACGACCCATTCATAGGCGCTGCCAAGCTGGAAAAGTCCCGACACCATAGCATTGAACTTTGTGACCGACATTGTGTTTTCGAAAAGGAGATATGGGACTATGAATGGGAAGGATTTTGGTGCTGGGAGAATGTTGAGAAATGACATGGCAGCCGGAATATAGCAGACGACCCATGCAGGGAGAGTTGCCTCGGGAACAAACATTGTCATGGGAAGGATTATGCAGAAGAGGGTAAAAGAGTAAAACGGGAGGATGAGCTTTCGTAGAAGGAAGAAGAGGAATATCATGTTACACTTCTTCCATATGCTTATCTGCCACATTTTTTCATTATAATTAGGATTAAAATTAGAATCTTGATTTGTTCATTCATATTTCATCCATCAAATTCAAATATCAGTACCTTTGCTTTAATGACAGCTGGCAAACACAGCCGGAATAGCTGCATCGGCCCGGAATGCCATCTGTGCTGTTGCTTTCTATACGCTTCGTAAGATTCCGGCAACTCGCATTGGCACTGAAATTAATAATAATTAAATTTATATTTATTATTTAATTTAGAAGTAATCTGAGATCAAATACCTCGACATCGTTGAGGAAGATGAATTTCCAGCCATGGAGGTGGGCCCGGACAGCGATGTCCATATCTTCAACAGTTGTTCTCTCCATCCAGCCGCCGGATTCTTCCAAGGCTTTTATTCTCCACACGCCAGCTGTACCGTTGAAACCGAAGAAGTTTAGGAAAATGCCGTTGACTTGCTGCTCGACTTCGAAATGGAAAGCTAGGTTGATGAGCTGGAGCCTAGTCAGCAGGTTCTCGTCCTTGTTCACGAACGACCACCTGGCCTGGACGAGTCCGAGTTTCTCATTGTCCTGTGATTCCAAAAGCACAGCATATATGACTTTTTCTTTTTTTTTTTTTTCCTTCAGAAATGTTTTTTTAATTGCCTTTTCAAGTGGGAACTAACTTGCATAAATTCAACAAGAATCTAAACCCAAGGGAGATTAAATTCCTTATTATAATCCTTACTCTACTTCCTTTTGACTTTACACGCCACCAAAGCATTTCACCAAACGCATTTTCTCAGTGAAGGAAATAAATGAAAATGAATTAGCCAGCTATCTGCTTCTATCACCAAGCAACAGATAGAAACTACTGGTTCTCAACTACTTCCTAGTTTTTGTTTTTACCGAAGTAAATCATTTCCTGTAATGCATTTCAAATCTAAATGAGTTAGCTACAAGACAACATTTACAAACCAATCTGATTCAAACTTGGGTTTTTCTTGCAACAATTTTTACCTTGAAGTGAGGTACTGTTCTGTTAAGGAAATCCGGGTGCGGCTGGAAATCGGCATCGAAAATGGCGACAAATTCGTAATCCTTTACATAGCTACAATTCATGGCAGACTTAAGATTACCGGCTTTGTAACCCTCCCTAATCACCCTATGCCTGTAAACTATATTAGCACCATTCTCCTGCCATTTGTGCACTTCCTCCTTAATAAGCATCTGAGCCATTGGATCGTCCGAATCATCCAATATCTGAATCAGCAGTCTCCCTTTAGGCCAGTCCAAGTTACACACAGCCGCAATCGATTGTTGATAAACCTATCAAAATTTTCCCCCATAAAAAATGGAAATTAAAGTTAGAATACCAATCAATTCAAGCCACTAGTAACTCAGCCAAACCCGCAAAACCCAATAAAATTTATGTTTCGTTAATGCTTTCATAATCCAATAACCAGCATCAAACACCACCTCAATCCACAACACTAATTCAATAGCAACTCAACTGATAAATTGCTTGTTTTTCATAATTCACCTAAATTATTATAAACAGAGAGAAATGCTATAAAAATGTAGCATTAAAAGAAAAGGAGAGGTCTTTAGTCTTTACCTCTTTCTCATTGCACATAGGGATTTGAACCAAAACCATGGGGAAATAGCCATCTCCGTCTCCGGATTCAAGATCTGTAAGGCCCTGTTTGGCGACCGGCTTGATATTCCATAACTTAATCCACAGGCAGCCCAAACACAAGATTAGCCTATCCAGGCTCTGGATTAGGAACAGCAATATGCACACATTGGTCAGCAACTGTAGCGGGGGAGCAAGATACTCCACCCTAATCAGAACCCACTTGGAATAGAGCAAGCCAAACACGTCCTTAACAGCAAAACCATGGGCCAGGGCATAAAACCGGTCGAGCAGAAAATCCTGGGAACCAAAGTGCCAACCCCGGAAATACGCCGCCATCTCGAATCCCAGAAGAATCAGGGAAAGCCAGAGCGCGATCTTGATGCAGGCGTAGAATCTGGACTTGACGGCTGGGTTCTCCGCCGCCGGCGAGTCGGAGGAGTCCGTGCGGCCGGAGGCGACGCGGCGGCGGACGGCGGAAGCGAGGGAGAGGGAGGCGGCTGCGATGGAGGCGAGGCAGCCGGCGGCGCGGTGGGCCTTGAGGAGGATGACCCAGGTGAGCTGCTTGGCGTTCTTGTTCCGGCCACCCTTGGGAGCGGCGGCGGCGGCGTCGTTTGGGTAGATGAAGTCCTCGTAGGACGGCGACTCCAGCTCGACCATGGACCAGTTGTTGGGGTTCTCCATTTTCACCACCACGGGTGTGCCCCCATGGGCTTCCTTCGCCCACCAGTACAAAGATGGAGCCATTTTTATTTTTTTATTTTCAAAGGATGTGAAATCTGCTCAAGAATGGCCTATTCTGGGAAATGGTGAAGCTTCGCAGGATTTCCGGCCAAGTGAAAATAAACAAATAATAAAAGCCAAAAAAAAAGAAAAAAAAAATCCCCTTGATTTGATTTGTGGGTTTTGTGAGATGAGCAAAAAAGTTTGAATCTTGGGGAGGATGCTTGAAAAGGAGGCAATGCT